TGAATATTTGCCCTACTTTGTTTGACATGGTATAAGAGCCTAGGTTTTCTTGTGACCTGTGTTTGCGGTCTCCTTGAGAGTCGTTGCTAATCCTTGAGATCCTCTGACAAATTGAGAGTCGTTGGCGTTCCTCATTCCTAGCCCATCATGGGTCTTCACCTTGCTGTAAATCCCCGTTTCTCCTTTCCTTAATAATCAACATATATTTCTTCTGCCTTAGCCATAGCCGCACCTTTTTGCAATTTTATCCTTATCTCTATCCTTATCGTGTTTATGTTGAGTCATTACCTTTCTTTTTCTCTACCCATGCCTGCTGCTGCCTTTTTCTCTTACTTTTCATCTCTCTATGAGCTTGCTTTCTGTTAAAATCAGATTGAGCCTATGTTAGTTTCAGTCTCTTGTGCTCACAGCTGAGCCTCTCTTTTAAATGTATACCATATGGGCAACACGCCCTTGGCCATTGATGGCCTGATATCTTTCCTCCGTGAGCCTCGTCACCGTTCACCGAGCCATCTCAAACCTCCGCGAGCCTCGTCACAGCTCGCCGAGCCTTATCTTAGTTGGCCTTTGTCTCTCTCTATCCTATCGAGCTACACTGTTGATATTTTTTCCCATTTGATAATGTGTTTCACTTCTTGCCCAATAACATCTGTGTTTTCTTACTCTCTATTTATTTGGGTGTTACTTTCCCCAAATCTCAACTCTCATACATCGTCGGATTTGAGGGGGATTGACACTGATGCTCATCTATTCTATTGCAATTCACCTACCTATCTATCATGGCTGATTGTCCGTGACTGTTTCTCAAGTACCACTGCTCATATGTGCTTCATTGACCCCTTCTCTTAAGGGGGAGAAGGGAAGTGAAGAGAAGTTGTCTCTGTTGTTGCTGCTACCACAGTTGTTTGCTTAGGGGGAGTGAATTGAAGTTGTCTCTATTGTTGTTGCTGCCACAGTTGTTTGCCTTGCCTTGTCTTGCTGGTGCCAGTGCCTTATATTGCTCTTACTAGTGCCAGTGCCTTGTGTTGCTCTTGCTGTTGTCAGTTTTGTTGTCTCTTGCTGAGGACATTGTTATTGTTGCTTCTACTGTGTTGGTGCCTTTGCTGGTGTGTTTTTCCGCTGCGATCATGACCGTTGACCTTGCCTTCGCTCTTAACTTTCTTTGCCATGCCATGCTTTGCCTTACCTTGCCTTATCCTATTTTTTAGGGTTTGGTTGCCTTTGCCTTTGTCGTACCTTACCCTGTCTTTAGGGTTTTGTTGCCCTATCTGGGCTTTCTTTACCATGCCTTGCCACCTTGCCTTTGCTTGGCCTTTATTTGCCTTATCTTGCCTTATCCTATTTTTTTTAGGGTTTGATTTTACCTTGACATGCCTTTCCATATTTTAGGGTTTGGTTGTGTCCTTTGTCATGCTCATAGAGTTTTTGTGTTCTGCCTTATCTACTGACGTGTTCACAGGGTTTCTATGTTCTGCCTTATCTA